CCCCACCCCACCCCTCTTCACATATGCTCAAATCCACAGAGAGTCAATTCCCTTGTGTTTGCATACCATATCACCTCTGCATATCCTCCCATCTCCTTTAAATCATCACCAAACTTCAAAACAAATTCGCTGCCATTGAGTCAGTGCTGACTCATAGCAACCCTATAGGACACGGTACAGTTAACCCTGTGGGTTTCTGAGACTGTAGCTGTTTACAGGAGTGAAAAGCCAGGTTTTTCGCCCACCGAGTGGTTGGTGGTTTGAAATCACTAACTTTACAGATTGCAGCCCAAGAAGTAACCACTACACTACCAAAGCCTCCCAGATCATCAGCAGATTACTTATAATATCTAATGTAATGTAAATACTGTAGAAATAACACTATCCTCCCTCTTAGTCTTTGAGATACTGCTTTGATCACTTAATTGCCCTTTTAAAAAGTATTTTTGATTCTTGTTTGGTTGAATCTGAAGAACCTGTGGATACGCAGGGCTGACTCTACAATAAAATTGTTATATCATATACCAGTTTATACCATATACCATCCATCAGCCCTGGCTGATGGTGTAGTAAGTTATGTGCTGGGCTACTAATCTCAAGGTTAGCAGTTCGAACCCACCAATCGCTCAGTCTCTGTGAATTTCTGAGACTGTAACGTTTAAAGGAACAGAAAGCCCCATCTTTCTCCTGAAGAGCAGCAGGCATTTTTGACCCATGACTCATGTAATCACTATGTCACCAGACCACCTTTTACCATTACCCAATTTCAGAATATTTTTTCTTTTCAAAAATAAATCCATACCCAATAGTGGTCAATGCCTCTCCTCAGTCCCTGACAACCATTAATCTGCTTTCTGATTTCTCTAGATTGTCTACTTTGTATATTTAATATAAATGCAATCTCACATTGTATTGTTTTTTCTTTCTGACATCTTTCAACTTGCATGCTGTTTTCAGGTGTCATTTAAATTTTACCATACCTCAATACCTCATTCCTTTTTGTGACTGAATAATATTTAATTGTATGAATATAACACATTGGATTTATAGATTCATTAATTGATGGACATTTAGATTGTTTTCACTTTTTGAGTATTTATTTTTAATAAAAACTTTTGGGTAGCAGAAATACTTTAGTCACAATATAAGCTAAATATTTCTTTATTATTGAATCATATGAGATATACTAAGCCTAGAAATCCAATTGCTATTGAGAGATATAAATATCAATATTGAAAAACAAAGTACTTGGATATGGCTTTGTATCTTAACACAGCATATGATGCTCATGTTTTATTATTAAAAACATAAAGCTGGCTAATGGTAGCTTTGTCAGGTAAGTGGGCAGCTAAGCCCAAGTTGGTGGCTCAGGAGAAAGATAAGACTATTTGCTCCCATAAAGACTGACAACCTTTGGAACCCTGTATGGAGCTGCTAGGAGTGGGAATTGATGAGGTGGTGATGGGTTTTGGAGTCACATACAAGGACTCCTGGGGGTCCAGTGGTTATATACTCAGCTGCAAACTCAGGGCAAACTTGAACCCACCAGCTAGCTACTGGATGAAAGACGAAGGTGACTGTCTACTTCTACTTCTGTAAAGGTATGCGCCCCATGCGGCAGGTCTCTTCCGTCCTATAGGGTCACTATGAATTGGAATTGACTTGATGGCAAAGTTTTTTGTTTTCCCCTTGTCTTTTTATTTTATGTTTCCCTTTATTTTCTTAAATCATTTTACGGGGGGCTCATACGGCTCTCATAACAATCCATATACATCCATTGTGTCAAGCACATTTGTACATATGTTGCCATCATCCTTTTCAAAACATATTCTTTCTACTTGAGCCCTTGGTATCAGCTCCTCAGTTTTTCCTCTCTCCCCCACCCTCCCATCCTCATGAACTCTTGATAAATTATAAATTATTATTATTTTCTTACACTGTCCTTCGTGTCCCTTCACCCATGTTTCTGTTGTTTATCACCTGGGTGGTGGGGTTTATATATTGATCATTGTGATTGGCTCCCCCTTTCTCCCCCCACCTTCCCCCTACCCTCATGGTATCATTACTCCCATTATTGGTCCTGAAGGGTGTATGAGAGCTCTTATATGTACTGGTGTACATATTCTGGTCTAGCTGGATTTATAAGGTAGAACTGGGGTCATGATAGTGGCAGGGAGGAAGCATTAAAGAATTAGAGGAATATTGTGTGCTTTGTTGGTGCTGTACTGCACCTTGGCTGGCTTGTCTCTTCCTTGTGACCCTTCTGTGAGGGTTTGTCCAATTTTCCACAGATGGACTTTGGGTCTCCACTCCAATTCCCCTCATTCACATCAATATGATGGTTTGTTTTGGGTCTTCTGATGCCTGATACCTGAACCTGTGGACACCTCATGATCACACAAGCTGGTGTGCTTCTTCCATGTAGGCTTTTTTGGTTCCCAGCTAGATTGCCACTTGTTTATCTTCAAGCCTTTAAGACTCCAGATGCCATATCTTTTAATAGCCAGACACCATCAGCTTTCATCACCATATTTGCTTATGCAATCACTTTGTCTTCAGTGATTGTGTCATGAGCATCTCAGAATACCAGGTTGTTAGAACAAAGTGTTCTGGCATTGAGGAGTACTTGAGTAAAGGCCCAATGTCTCTCTGCTACTTTAATATCTAACATAAAAATATATGTACATAGATCTATTTCCCTATTATTATATTTAAATATATTTTCATATGTACGTGCCTGTATTTGTACATCTATAAATGTCTTTTGCCTCTATTTCCTTTTACTTTCCTCTTGTCCCACTATCATGTTCAACCTTCATTCAGCTTTCAGTAATTCCTCTCCCTACATTGCATTTGATCATACCTCACCAGGCATTCTACACCCTCCTCACTATTGATTTTAGATCACTTGTTGTTCCCTTGTCCCTAGGTTTGTTAGCTCTTCAATTCCTTTCTTCTATGTACCCCCTCCCACCTCTGGAACCATCAGTCTCATTGTTTTCTCCTCAGGATTGTTTATCCTGCCTATCTTATATAGATAGAAATTTAAAAAATTTTAAAAGCCTAAGCCTATGAATAGTTCCAGGTCTGTCTGTCGACCTTTATGAATGTTTTCTGATTGCGTCTGATGAGGTGCCAAGCCCTGTCCCCAAAGTCTATTTTTGAGATTCCTCAGGGACTTCATTGCTTTCTCCCGTTGCTGCTCTGCTGCACTCCCTTTGTGTTTTGCCCTGGTGTGTGTGGGAGATTAGACAGGGCACAATTCCTGCACTGTGTTTCCAGTGTTGTCCTATGGGTCAGTGAGGGGACTCCATGTCTCATGGTGGAGCCAGCCCTATGGTCCTCTTTGTGCCTTGGCTGCTCCGAGCAAGAATGTCATCATCGGTGCTTGGTGGGCCAGGATGTGGTCTACTCTCCTTTTCTCTCTTCTTCCCTCTTGTTTGTTCCTGTGTGTTCTGAACAGAACTGCCCCTCTTCCCCACCTGTATCTTCATTGCTGTCCTCTATGTGCACCCCATGGGTGGATTAGTGCTCTGTTATCTTCTACCCATGCCCTCCTTTTTTTTCCTTTTCCCTTCCTTTTTATTTGGCTGCCATATGTGTCCCTGGGTTGGGACTCCTGCCAGACTTCTGGCAATGGGTTTTAATCATACACAAAGGAGCCGTGTAGTGTAATGATTCAAGTGCCTGGCTGCAAACTGAAAGGTGAGTGGTTAGAACCCACCAGCTGCTCTGCATGGAGACCTGGTGGCCTCCTCCTGTAAAGATGACAACCTAGGAAGCAATAGGAGGCAGTTCCACTCTGCCCTACTGCACCATTATCTGTTGAAATGGACCCACGGGCACCCCGCAACAACCACACACAAAGCTCCCCTTCAGGTTCTCTCTCCTTTTTATGTTGCTCTGTGTGCCTGATGTCCTTTTCAAAATGTTTCTATTTCATATTCGATTTTGAAGCTTTAGGAAACCAAGTATAAATATAGAAAACCCAAGTTTGTACATCATATACTAAACAATACACTTGAGATGTGATTTTGAATAGGAAGACATTCAAGGTGGTAGCTAGTTTCAAATTATATATCAACTTTAGCTTTCAGTAGTTCATCCATTTAGAAAAGACAATGGGGATATAGCCATGGTACGTTTTAGTCTTTTTTCTCAAAAAATCCTGTATCATGTGTGGTAATAAGAGAGGGATGATCTGTTTAAATTGGGGGTACAAAACATGGAAGGTATATTTTACATCTTAGAACTTAAGTACTAGGAGGATGCCTGTGATCCCGTCCAATTGTTGAGCACTGTCGAGGACACGAAGGAGTAACTGAGAGAACCAGAACTTGGGTTTATGTTCTTTCCCAGTCCAAAATTCTTCCCTCAATTGTATCCATGTAATGTAGCTTAAGGCAGTCCACAAGTAGTTATTTTCCTCACCTAGAGTACCTAGAAAGATTCTAAGCTAATATTACTATTACACCGAAATGCTTACTTGCCTACTTTACTCACATTGCCAAAGTTATCATAAAGTACCGATACAATTAATGTACATTCTCCTTTTATTAAACTGGGTTTACAGTTACTGTATATTTTGTAAGTTGGAAAAATACCCACAGCTGCATTCCTGTCAATGATATGACCAATGGTGAAAAAATTAATTTTATCTGTGCTTTCCTGTTTGTATCTTCAGCCAGTGACTAAAGCATAATGATAACAAACATTAAATGAAGCAATATTTGTAAACCACTTATAATAGCAGCTACATATTTTTTAAAAATGCATTGAGTTCATTTTAACTCATAGTAATCCTATGGGGCAGAGTATAACTGTTCTGTGGTGTTTCTGAGACTGTAAATCTTCATGGGAATGGATAGTCTTATCTTTCTCCCACGCTGCAGGTGGTTGGTTCAAACCATCATCCTGATTGCTAGCAATAGAAAAACAGCCCATGGTGCCACCAAGACTCATATAGTAAGCACTATATGTGTTTGTTACATAAAACAATATGGCCCGGGGATAACATTTCATTTTTCAGAAAGATAAGCTATATCAGTATGTGTGATGGAATAAAATACCCATATCTGTAGTTATTAGATCAGAATTCATATAGTTTGCAGAGGGATGAGAAAAGATGTTAACATAAGAATATGAAGTCTGAATATTGCATCTTTCAGTATTCTATTTTGACATACACATTCAATATTTTTTATAGCATCAACTTAGACTTCTGGAAGCCCAAAAAAGAAACCAAGAAGTGGTTCTTCGTCGCAAAACGGAAGAGGTAGTGTGATCAAATGGACTATTTGGGGGAAATATTCTTACACTGACACATAAGATGTATTTCTGTAGACTGAGAGATTGAGTCCACCTTTGCTGCTGCTTCAGGTTACCGCTCTTCGTCGGCAAGTCAGGCCCATGTCCGATAAAGTGGCTGGGAAAGTCACGCGGAAGCTGAGCTCCTCCGATTCTCCTGTTCAAGACACAGGTTCCAGTGCAGCTGCCACAGAAACAGATGCAGCCAGGGCAGCAGCCCAACAGAAAATGAAAATCCCTGTGGCAAGAGTCCAAGCCTTGCCACCAGCCACAACCAACGGAACCAGGTCAACGTGATTTTTCAATTCCACCAGCCATAATCTCCATGGACATTATTGCTGAATGTTATGTTCCAATGAAAACTCATCATTTGGCAGTGCACAATCAAATCAGTGTGTAAGTAGTTTTGTATGTCTGTTTTTATATGATTACAGAAAAAAGTATCAGAGGAAAGCGTTGACTGGCCGAGTGTTTACTTCCAAGACGGCTCGCATGAAGTGGCAGCTTCTTGAACGTAGGGTCACAGACATCATCATGCAAAAAATGACTATTTCCAATATGGAGGCGGATATGAATAGACTTCTAAAGGTATGCCAAATATGTATATATCCGTTCTGTTACCTTCTTCCAAACTTGTTCCTCAGATAAACTTACTATTTGCTGTGCTCGTTTCTTGGTTTTGATTATATTTTGAATGAAGAGATGAATGCCATTCCTCAAAGTTCAAACTGTTTTCTCAATAGCAACGGGAAGAACTCACAAAAAGGCGAGAGAAGCTTTCAAGAAGAAGGGAAAAGATCGTGAAGGAGAACGGAGAGGGAGACAAGAACGTGGCTAACATCAATGAGGAGATGGAGTCACTAACTGCTAACATAGATTACATTAATGACAGTATTTCTGATTGTCAAGCCAACATCATGCAGATGGAAGAAGCAAAGGTCTGTAATTTTAAACCTCTTTACTTCATGAAAAATATTTTTGTACATTAGTTCCAAAATATTCTTCTTGGCGTACTCTTTAAGTACTAACCTCCTCCAGCCTAGGGAGTAGGTTTTTCTGCTGGCCCTGTGATGGTATTTATTATTTGTACAAATTTTAACTCATTTATTTTATCCTTCCTTGAATATTTAACTGCTTAAATGGACCTCAGTTTCTTCAACTAGGCCATATGTTTCCTGAGGTGAAGGATCATGACTTATAATCTTCTGATTAGTCTCAGTGGATAAGCCATACAATCAAGTGACTCCGGGAATAATTTTTCAAAGGCTTGTGCCTTCTGTTTAAGTACACCCAGCTCAAAGGAGCAATCATCCTCTTCCGGTGTGTTGCAGGAAGAAGGCGAGACGCTGGATGTCACTGCCGTCATCAACGCCTGCACACTCACAGAAGCCCGCTACCTGCTCGATCACTTCCTGTCCATGGGTATCAATAAGGTAAGACCTAATGACTCCGTTCTTTAAAACCGAAGGCTAGAGCTTTGTTGTTTGGGTATTTTTCTCCAGTCAGTGTCCTTTTTGTACTAAGGAAGAAGAGAGTAATCCTTCTAGCTTTCTTTAGAGTTAATGAAAAACAACAATATTTCTTTCCATTTTTCTAATCCTTGATTTATTAGCTTCTCCTCTATTGTGTTTACGCATTAGCACAGATAAACAACTTAAAGGACAGTAATCCCCCTTTTGCTTTAATTTACCCAAACCAAACCCCACTGTGGAATTACAGCAATCCTGTAGGGTTTCCTCATCTTTCTCCTGCCCAGCAAGCAGTTTACAACCACTGCACCACCTGGGTTCCTTGCTTTTCACATAACCAAAACACCAAGCACTGTCAATGAGTCACTGCTGACTCATAGTGACGCCCTGTGGGTTTCTGAGACTGTTTACTGGAATAGAAAGCCCAGTCTTTCTCCCCAATACAATTGAGAGTTCAGTAATAGGGATGATAAGATATCTTGCCCCAAGTCACCAATCTAGTAAGAAGGGCTAGCATTTGAACACAGGCCAGCTGCTGTCAAAGAGTGTGCATCCTATGCATTTACTGTTTGTTACAGATCCTGTGTGGTACTTTCTGCTTTGTATGGCCTTGGTGGTGTAATGAGTTATGAGTCGTGCTGCTAATAGCAAGATTAGTAGTTCAAAACTTCCAGCTGCTCCTTGGGAGAAAGAGGCTTTCAGGTTCTATGAAAATTTACAGGCTTGGCAACCCAGATGGGCAGTTCTGCTCTCTCCTATAGGTTGGAGCTGTCTCTGAATCAATTACATAGCAGTGAGCTTGAAGGTTGTTTTTTTCTTTTCTTTCCTGTATTGTTGCAGGGTCTTCAGGCTGCCCAGAAAGAGGCTCAAATTAAAGTCCTTGAAGGTCGTCTTAAACAAACTGAAATAACCAGTGCTACACAAAACCAGCTTTTATTTCATATGCTGAAAGAGAAAGCAGAATTAAATCCTGAGCTAGATGCTTTACTAGGCCATGCTTTACAAGGTAATTTTGACTAAATTTTAGTTAACTATATTGCATGATATCTTAGCTCTTTGAGCACACTATCCTATACCTCTTTCCTTTATAACTTGCCTGAATAGATGCTATATTTACTTATGCTTTTAATAATGATTCCTTCTTGAATTTGCATGCATAATTATTGGGGGAGAGCAATTACAATTCTTCCAAAAAAATGATTTCTAATTTAAAAAGACTTATTTAACCCCATTAATCAAGTAGTATATATGGCTACAGGAAACTGGCCAAATTTCTGAATTGGTTATTTAAAATATTAGACAAGTTTCATTACATTATTCTGCATATATAACTGCCTTAAAATGAGTGTTTGCTATGGCATCTATTCTATATATCTTATGGATGATACCTAATCTTATTTTATATGGGAATTCTTGTCATTGGATCTGTTTTGATTGGAGTGTTGCTTTTTGTTTCCTTTTTGCTGTTATTTACACAGATCTAGATAGCGTACCTTTAGGTAAGTATTTTAGCTTTCTGTGTACCCTACAGCTGCATGAATTACTAATTGTTTATGTACTAATTGTGGTACATCTTACTTTAAAAATTTTATTGGTAGCGAGCTATTTTTTATTTTGCATGATATTTATTGAAATGTACCCATGACCACAAAAATACTAAGTCCTTTGTCTTTATCAAGCATTCCTGATGAAAAGTTCTTAGATATCTAGATAAGTAGGCTTTAGTTAGTTGTTTATTTTATTATTTGAGCTCTAGTTGTGGCTCCCCTTTCAAGTTCCCTTAAGTTATGTCTCCTTCTTAGATTAAAAAAGGAAATGAAAACAAAACAAATATATGAACTATCTAAAGTGGTTTTATTCCTAAACACGAGGTAACGATTTTTAACCGTAGCATAATATTTTCAAGTTAGAAGGAGCTGTAGAGATCACTGAATATGGAGGCTTTTCATCTTTCTTTTCTTATTTTTACAACTTTCTCGTGAACGATAACTGACCCATTGCCTGCTCTATGTGAAGGAGTAGGAGGAGTATTGGGGAAATTTTATTGCTTTGATAATTTTGGTACAGTGTCATTACATTTAACTGCTTTTTACATTTAGTCTTAACTTTCAAAAGGATAGTCCCATTTTAGTGTTACAATAAGCAGGTTCTAGGAACCTGCATTTATTTTAAATATTAATGACCCATTAAATAAAATATGGAGCTATTCTGCTTTTTTTTTTTTTTTGCTGTCTGTACTGTGTGTTAATCTCGAAATAGCACTTTCTTGTGATCAACTGCATAATTTAGGTATGGAAAGGCTGCTATATGTGAGATTATTAAGCTATAACAAAGTTAGGTAGAAGAATAAGGATTAGATTAATTAAATTGAAGAACCTCGTCAGACTGCTCAAGTACTGAAGAGTACACAAGCGTGAGGAACATAATTTTAACGAAGGAAAAAACCTTTACTATAACCAGCAATTTTACTATTTCATGTATTACCAAGCATTCTTATATTTCCTTCCCCTCTCTCTCCTACATCTATTTTTAATTTATTATTAGTGTCTTAGTTTATAGCAGTCAGTAAGTTCTTAAGTAAACCCTTGACCTCTGCTTGCTTCGTTGAAAATCCAGTGCCTCTTTGGTATTCTTTTGTACAGAAAAATATTGAATTGCTAATTTGATGAGTAGTATTACTCTTTGGCATACAAGTTTTTGTTATTTATTGCTGAAGGAAGGGCAGAAACAGGATAGTAACTATTCAATTGATGTCTCCTGACAGACATTTGTCCTTGGGATTGGGTCCTTAATTCAGACATGGGATGCTGGGAAAAATATATTGAAGCTGCACTTGGCGGATGAGGGTAGGAAGCAGAATCCATAGATGATGGATGACCACAGGGATATTATTTTGAATAATAATTGTTTGTTCTAATATTGCTCTAATATCAAGCATTGGGTTAAGTGCTAGGATTCAGATTAATAAAATGAACGAATCACGAACATTGTTGCTTTCTATTATTTGATGCTCCCCTGAAGGAGACAGACCTTGAGCAGATGGAATGCAATGAGGCAGTGCCTGAGATGTATTCAGGGTTTACAGGTGCACAAAAGTGGGGACTCCCCACTAAAATAGAGGAGTCTCTGATGGCTTTCTGAAGGGAGTGCCACGTGCCCTGAAACTTAAAAGAAGAAAAGGCCTTATGTCAGTCAAAGGTTTGACCTCCAGACAGAGGTCTTCTGGACTTCTGGCCACAATATTGTGTGCCTGCGGTTTCCAATCAGATTGAATGTGTGGTCATGAGGACATCAAGTCTAAAAGGTTAGCCAGGACCAGCATTCCTTATTTTTTCTGTTTTCTCCGTCTGTGTTGGAGGTCTCAAAGACTAACCGGATGTTTAGAGATTTGCTAGAAGAGCTCATGGGACTCAGCGTACAGTTGGCCCTGGGAAGATACAGTATGGCAATGCTGTATGAGTACAAAGCCAGTCCATAAGAGGGCCAGATACTCGTGGATTCTTGAGGATTCCACCGCCTGCTCCTTGGGAGAAAGATGAGACTTTCTACTCCCATGAACAGGGACAGTCTTGGGAATCCATGGAGGCTGGTCCATTCTGCTTTATAGGGTTGCTATGAGTTGGGATCAGCTGGATGAGAGTGAGTTTGAGTGAGTTTTGACCTCCCTCACCCTCATGTCATTGAGTCAGTGCTGACTCATAGCAACCCCCTACTGGTTTCCAAGACTGTTTGTGGGAGTAGAAAGCCTGGTCTTTCCTTCTCGCAGGGAGCTGCTGGTGTTTTGAACTGCTGATGGTGAAGATCACATCCCAAGTGCCACTTACTCACAGTGGCAGCCCTAGCCTGTCCTGTAAGGCTATTATGCATCATCGTTGACTCCATGGCAGTGAGTGAGTTTTGACAGTCCGTGCAATCTCCTTCTTCCTCTCTGCTATCATTTAAAGGCATTACTTTTTCTTGAGTCCTCCTTACTCACCCAGTCACGTTAGCCCCGAGGATCCTGTCTCCAGAGGAAGCCGCAAGCTTCCCTCAAACGGAGAGCTTTGAGTTTCATGCTGCCTTCAAGACCAGGTTTTTTCTGAAAGTAACTCCTTTTGTGTGGTTCTGAATGTGTCTGTCTAATGTCAGGAATGACGCATTTCCACCTACGCTCATGCTAGAAAGAAAATGAGTAGCAGTTTAGAGAAAGGAACTAGTTGACTCATGTACACAGTCCACCTGTACAATATAAAACAGAAAGTTAAAAGGGATGAATTCTCCACATTTTTCACTAATGTAACCTGTTATTTGTAACATTTTATTTTTTAGAAAAAATTTATGATAAAATATACATAATTTTAAAACTTCTCCCTGTGCTAGAGAGTCTTTGACATTCTAAATCACTTTCAGTGGCTGTTTGATTTACTGATTTCCTACTAGTTTTATATGTTTGCTTTTTTTCATGTGTTACTAGCTCTGAAATAGCAGTGGTTTCTCTGTGTTGGTTTACAGAACTGTTGCATGCAAATCTCTTGTTTTTGTCTATCATGTACTGGTGGATGAGTTGCATGCTGTCATGTGACTTTTGAATACTTGTGCACGCATGCACGTGTGCACACACATTCATGCTACTTGAAGACATTTTTCCATTTAAGTAATTTGTCACAACTGTTAAAGGTATAGCAAGTGCACTTAGCAGTAATGTACTATAAAAATATAACTTTATATACTTTGGTAAGTATATGATCTAATTTCTATCTTAAGAATTCAATTCTTCTATGTTTTACCATTCATCTCATGGTTTTCTTACTTTGAATATAAATGTTCCACATCTTAGGACATGTACGAAGGAGTTTTTAGCAATATTTCCTGTAATCATATTTCCACTTAGTAAATGAAACCAAAGTGCCCATGTTGAGACAGTGGATTAGCATAGAGTCTGCAGTCATGGTTCTAACTGTGACGTGTGGATAATATGTACATTTTGGGCATTTTTTAGAAAATCTAGAGGACAGTACTGATGAGGATGCACCTCTAAACAGCCCCGGATCAGAAGGAAGGTAAGAGAGCCTTTAGAAAATTCATAGATATGTCTTGTTTCTATCATTAAAAAAAATACTTGTATCCTGTCATTTAAAGAAATTACTGTGAAGTAGGAATAACTTTGAGTCTGATGACTGAGTGACTAGACGTAGAAACAGTAATATAGAAATGAAACTAACTCATAATTTTTGATACCAGATATTTTAGAATAAAATGAAATACAAGGGGGTACCTCCCCAGAAAAGACCAAAACTTTTTTCAAAGCTATGTATTTAAATCTTTTTACAAAACAACCATATCATCTTAAAAGTACTCTCCATTATACTTAATACATTTGTCAAATCTGCAATTCCATTCTTGGAAACATTTATCAAACTCATCTGTTTGGATGGTTGCAGCACCTCCCTCATTTTTTTCTTCACCTCTTCTATGTCAGGAAATAGCTGGCCTTTCATGTCCCTCTTCATTCGTGGAAAAAAAAAGGCATCAGACAAAGTGAGGTCAGGTGTGTAAGGTGTGTGGGGCCAGAGAGGCATGCTGTTTTTTGCCAAAAACTGGCACACTGAGATGGCTGTGTGAGTAGGTGTATTATCATGGTGGCAAAACCAATCCCCCGTCTACCACAAATCAGGCCTTTTTTTGTCACACACTGTTACACAACCTTTTCAGAACCTCTAAATAGAAAACTTGATTAACAGTCTAATCTGGTGGTCCACGTGAACATTTTCATCCATTCGGGAAGTTGACAGACATCCAGAATGAGGCTTGTCATCTATCGACATTTCACCTTTTTTGAAATGAGAAAACTACTTGTACACTTGAGTTTTTCTATAGTGCATCCCTTGTTAGCTGTGTTCAAACAGTTTCTATGGTACTTTTACTGAGCAGGAAACAAAATTCCACAGCCACATGCTGTTCTCTTAAATTGCTCATCACAAAAATGAAGTTTGAGCAAAACTGCTTTTACGAGAAAATTCACTGTGACCAGAGAGAACCTTCCTAGGTGATGCCACTGCATGTACTCAGAGTGAGTTGCTGGATGCTCACCTATTGGAAAAAAGGCATACTATGAAAGCTCCACTCTGTGAAATTCCAGGATTTTTTTAGTATCCCTTTGTAAAAATTTAGTACCCTTTTGTAAAAATATGTTATTTTTAATTAAGGACCTACATAATTTGATTTTATATACTTTGTAGTTGTAGAGGACGTGGAGTTTATGACAAGTTCTCTTTTAACCTCATGGTTGTCATTTGCTTATAGCATGCTGTCTTCCGACCTGATGAAGCTTTGTGGTGAAGTGAAACCTAAGAACAAGGTAAAGATCATTGAAAATGCCAGGTGAACTCTCCCCGCAACTCCTCCTCCCCGTCCTGTTATTTTTAATTAGATAAACACACAGGCCTCAAGCTCTTCTCTTAGTAGATTAGCCAATAAACATCACTTTGGCAAACGTTTTCTCCTTGGTGGAACTTAGGTTTTGCTATATTCTTTCACAGTTTTTATGGGGCGAGATATGACTACGAGACTGATCCTCTAGATGCTGGTTAACTAATTGATAGATTCCCACAATGACACACAAGGTAAATCATTTAGATTGGCAGGGGCTTTTTAAAATGTTAGCCTCCTGCTATGTCCTTAATCAGGTCTTGTTTTACTTAAGTAGTATCCTGAGGTAATTGGAGTCATATGCGAACCTTTAGTTATCAGGCTATGCTAAAACAATGTGAGGTTGTTTTATCAGGCTATGCTAAAACAATGTGAGGCTATCGTGCACATTTGTATTTTTTAAAGTGATATATATATACACACACACATATATATATGATACATGCTGCTAAATATGCTCACATATTTGGCATATTGACACGGCTCACGTTGAAGGTGGTAGCATTTGTTACTTCATGAATTAGCTAATTATCTCGAGATCTTGGAAAGCAAAGAATTCCCACATTGTTTCTTGAATGAATGTGTAGAATCAGAACCTAAAAGAATAATCCTGTCCAAAAAAGAATAAGCAGGCCCACAGTGGTTCATCAGATGGTCATGTAAATGAATAATTTGGCTGGCTGTAAAACAGGGAGTAGGGGTAAATGTCATTAACTGACAAGTACACACCTCATTTAAGGTAAATAAATAGTCACCATTAAGCTCTTGCTCATTTGTAGAATGTGGAAATGTGGGCTTAAAGCTACCAGAAATTCTAGTCGTTCAAAGGATTTTTATTCAGAATTTCCTGATCTTTAAAACACTGGGCAAGCCAAACCAAAAATTATACCCGGGCTCCTCTGTGTGATCTTTGAACTACTGGTTTGGCGGCATGTTTTGTTTTTGGCTTTTGTTTTATTATTATTAGTGACTAAGCAGAGACTACTACCAAAACTCAAAGAAAACATTCGAGTAAGTTTCAGATCCTGTCCTAGGCATGGAGAGAGAAAGAGATGATCTCTTGAGGTAACTTTCATCTTGCCTACCTACCTACCTACAGGAGGTAATGTGAATTAGTAGCCATGTCTTGAGAGCCATTGACGTTACGAATCTCCAGGTAATCTGTTTTATTCTGTCTTTGGCTTAAGGCAGTGGAAAGAGTTTACAGTGGAAAATAATTTACAGTGTGTTTTCTTTCCAAATGTTTTCTGGAGTGCTACATCCTACTTCTCTTGAACTTCACACATGTCTAAAAGGATCTTTTTTGGGTTTTTTTTTCACTCTTTGAAAATTACTCTAACTCTATCTTTTAAATAGAGTTATACAAGCGCTACATGAAGTACAGGAGACTTGTTGAATAAAGTTAAATAAAACAGTGTCCTTGCCTTCTGGAGGTTTATTATCTGGTGAATACCTTGATTATCTGTTAATACTTTAGCAAATAACAACAAATCAGATACGTGCAATACCAGTACAGTCATTTGGCTGTCAAGAATAAGGAAAGGAATCTTA